ATTAACATTGCATTAACATTTGGGTACTTATTTCAGTGCCTAAGTATTGCTGTCCCCCGGGTGAAAAAATGTGCGTACGGCCCTGCTATCCATCACTAATAACTAAGTGAGTAATTGGTGGTGTGCTAATCATCCTTACTTGCAGCTGAGAGCTAAGCTGAATTGCTACGGACGTAGCTCAACCTGATCCAGTCGAAGGCTTCCTGAGGGCGCCCCTGGCAGCCACCTTATGACTCATGTCTGATCACGGAGCACAGCTACGGTACCCTGTTAACATTCCCTGTGGGTGAAAACCGGAGTACCTGGAGAAAACCCACGATTTTCGGCAGGGCATCAACAGACAATTCCCATTATAGACTAATTTTAGAACTAGGCAAGGAGATGCAAATAAATCACCACAGCTAGAAAGAGCATACTAAAATTAGTAAAATTGCAAAGTTTGGTTGCGAAATGTTGTAAAATGCAGAAAATATAGCCTTGCAAATTTGCTAATTTTGTATACTTTTGTATTGCGTGCGGAAATTCCTACCACATTTGGGCAAAAAGTTGTAGCAATTTCCGCACGCAATACAAAAGTATACAAAATTTGCAAACTTTGCAAGGCTATATTTTCTGCATTTTACAACATTTCGCAACCAAACTTTGCAATTTTACTAATTTTAGTATGCTCTTTCTAGCTGTGGTGATTTATTTGCATCTCCTTGCCTAGTTCTAAAATTAGTCTATAATGGGAATTGTCAACTGACTCTTCACACTAAGTGTCACGTGTCCGTAGCGACAATAGCCTGCATGGCAGGCGGTACGTAGGAAATACCGCCTGCCGCAAAACTGTTAGCCTGCATGGCAGGCGGTACGTAGGAAATACCGCCTGCCGCAAAACTGGGTGTAAATGAACTACCGCCCCTGAAGCATCAACGCTATTTATAGATGCATTAATTAAGTAAATATTCAAAATTAGCCACTCCCAAGCTGCTCCCAACTGCCCAACATAAAATAAATTCCTTGATTCTCATCACCGCCCGACTGAATTTTAAAATCCTCGTGAAAACGTTTTATTTCTCGTTATACAATATAAATGTACCGCCCGACAAAATAATTCAAGACAGTTAATTTTTTCATATTTTATATAGAGTTTTTATTGCCATTTTAAACTTCCAATTTGAAACAAACAGAATTTTGAGTGAAATTTCATTGTATTTTAAAGAAACTCCGTCATTCTGTCATTGTTCGTGGAGATACGAACTATTGATATATAAATTATATAAATATAAAATATAAAAAATAAATCTCCCACTGTCTTCGACATTTCAAAGTGTAGACTGTGTCTAGTGATGAGAATTAAAGGAATTTATTTTATGTGTTAATATAAACCAAGCCCGTTTAGCCGTTTAGCTGCCTTAAAACGGTGGTTTAATAAGCTCAAAATACAAAGCATGCAAGTCTATACTATAGATTCATCATCAGTCAACAACCAACTGAAAGTATTGAACCTTATAGAACGATAGCTTTATTTGTTTACAACTATACATATTCAACGGGTATATAAGAGTTTAACTGTTATTTGATAATTACTGCATCAACCGGCCCCTTGTTTATACTTTGGAGGTTCGTATATAATATCTATCAAGTATCTTTGGTTCAGAACATGACTGATAGGCATATATGGAAATCCCACTGTTCGATTCAGTGAAGAAATATCTCCTAATTTCTATCGATAGTTTTAGTAAAATGTCAACATTATTGCGATTTATGGCGAGATAGTATATTATCAAATTAATACGCATGTAATTGTCTGAACGAAAATATAGACTAGCCCATACCTTTCGCCGATCATAACTTCGGCCCCTTCTGACGTATCTTCTTTGTTAAATATTCTTGTTCGAATCCCTATCAATAACACTATTTAGAGTGTTATTTTTCAGCTTGTATCTTTTAATTTGCTTCTTTTATTATGTTATTCCATTTCTGGTCTGACTTGACGTGAACTAATTTCAAAACGTCAAAACATTTGGTTAATGATTAACATTTAACCGAATTTAGCCGTTGATTGACAACTACATAAAAATACTAACCAATCCGTTTTTCCCGTTCACCAGCGGACGGGTAATTCAAAAACCCCTAGTTTTGCGGCAGACGGTATTTCCTTTGCTTCCCTAATTTTCGCTGCCCGTAGAAATACCGCCTGCCATGCAGGCTACAAAACTGTGTGTAAATGAACTACCGCCCCTGAAGCATCAACGCTATTTATAGAGCATTAATTAAGTAAATATTCAAAATTAGCCACTCCCAAGCTGCTCCCAAGTCCCAACTGCCCAACATAAAATAAATTCCTTGATTCTCATCACCGCCCAACTGAATTTTAAAATCCTCATGAAACTGACGTTTTATATTTCGTTATACAATATAAATGTACCGCCCGACAAAATAATTCAAGACAGTTAATTTTTTCATATTTTATATAGAGTTTTTATTGCCATTTTAAACTTCCAATTTGAAACAAACAGAATTTTGAGTGAAATTTCATTGTATTTTAAAGAAACTCAGTCATTCTGTCATTGTTCGTGGAGATACGAACTATTGATATATAAATTATATAAATATAAAAATAAATCTCCCACTGTCTTCGACATTTCAAAGTGTAGACTGTGTCTAGTGATGAGAATCAAGGAATTTATTTTATGTGTTAATATAAACCAAGCCCGTTTAGCTGCCTTAAAACGGTGGTTTAATAAGCTCAAAATACAAAGCATGCAAGTCTATACTATAGATTCATCATCATTCAACAACCAAACTGAAAGTATTGAACCTTATAGAACGATAGTTTTTATTTGTTTACAGCTATACATATTCAACGGGTATATAAGAGTTTAACTGTTATTTGATAATTACTGCATCAACCGGCCCCTTGTTTATACTTTGGAGGTTCGTATATAATATCTATCAAGTATCTTTGGTTCAGAACATGATAGGCCTAGGCTATATGGAAATCCCACTGTTCGATTCAGTGAAGAAATATCTCCTAATTTCTATCGATAGTTTTAGTAAAATGTCAACATTATTGCGATTTATGGCCTTTGAAAGTCAAGCGAGATCGTATATTATCAAATTAATACGGATGTAATTGTCTGAACGAAAATATAGACTAGCCCATACCTTTCGCCGATCATATAACTTCGGCCCCTTCGGACGTATCTTCTTTGCTAAATATTCTTGTTCGAATCTCTATCAATAACACTATTTAGGGTGTTATTTTTCAGCTTGTATCTTTTAATTTGCTTCTTTTATTGTGTTATTCCATTTCTGGTCTAACTTGACGTGAACTAATTTCAAAACGCAGAGTTTCAAAACGTCAAAACATTTGGTTAATGATTAACATTTAACCGAATTTAGCCGTTGATTGACAACTACATAAAAATACTAACCAATCCGGTTTTTTTCCCGTTCACCAGCGGACGGGTAATTCAAAAACCCCTAGTTTTGCGGCAGACGGTATTTCCTTTGCTTCCCTAATTTTCGCTGCCCGTAGAAATACCGCCTGCCATGCAGGCTAGTGAGTTACGTAAATCTCCCGTCCCAGAACGTATACTGTTAAATGTTGAATCTCGTATAATCAACATTTTAAAAAGCGTACATCAGTAATTAACACCCCCTACCCGCGGTGTACGGTCTGCACTCATTTCAGCGTGGAAAGAATTGTTGGTTGAGATATGTTAGCCTAACTCTGCTTATAGTTATCGAAGTACGGGAATACCGTCTGGGAATAAGCGCCGACTTTAATAGCAACAATTCACCACTCAATTACGGGTATAGACTCCCTTGCAGCCGTTCTTTAACAGAAAGAGCTGCTGTGAGGGAGACTAACAAACTGGCCACGCGTCACTATAGGCGTACGAGACGGGGGGGGGGGAGAAAAAAAATTTAAATGTAAGTCGGGCAAATGTTGAATATAAGTTGGGAAAAAGTGAAAAAATAAGCTAAAAAAACCAAGAAATATGTAAGATAATAGTAAAAAATGCAAGAGAATAGGGCAATGTGGCGAAACATTTTTAATTCCGAAGTTTAGCAGGGAATTTGATTAGTCGGGCAAAATGCAAAAATCTGGCAAATTTCGTTCTGTTCCCCCCGGGGGGG